TCAAATTGCTTAGCAAGTTTCTGAGCTTTTTCCAAATTTGCGATCAAAACTTTGATATTGTCTCCTACGGACATTTTTAAGACGGATCAAGAGCTGAAGATCGTCGTCTATTATAATTGAATCGAATTTAACCTCGCATTTTGGTACTGAGGCAGCTCTTGCTTCAACTATAGAAGTAGTCAGAGATTCAAGAGCATAATTAATTTCATCTTTGGTTTGCAAAGGAATGTTTGGATCGAAGTTATATGCCATAAATGTTCAATATTGCTCCCAATCAGCTTTATGGTAATTGAAAGTAGAGCTGTTGGGATTACAAATTATTTCTTGGGATATTTCAAAAGTTACTGGAAGGTGATCAGAACCGAAGTCAGCATGGGTAACCAATTCGCTACTAAGTTGACATGAATCAGTTAAGACCAAATCAATAGTTGAGGGATTTCTTGCTGAAGAAAAGCATGTTGGGCTGTTTAAATATTGAATAGTGTAATAACCTGCAGAATAATCATCAAACAGAATATTACCATTTTGTTCCTCGCTGACCGTTGTTAACAGCAGATGAATTTGTACCTGGCCGGAAACGTGGAGCGTTTACTACCTGTTGCTTAGAACGAGATTGTAGGATCGCTTTGCGAGTCTTACATTCCCAAAAATTGGATTTGTGGTTTTCACCACAATTTGAACATTTAAATTTTTTAGTATTTTCCTTCTCAGGACAGTCGTCCTTTGCGTGAGAGGAATTACCACAATTTATGCATTTAGCTGGCATGTAGCAATTTTTAGTTCCGTTACCCCATCCCTGGCACTTACGGCACTGGGTGAGGTTTTGGAAATTTCCTCCAGTCTTCCTGAAGTGTTCCCACTTCACTCGGACATGGAGTATAAGGCTAGCTTTTTCTAAGGCCTTAAGATTGTTTAGTTCACTAGACTTGAAGTGAACTAAATAAAAATCATTAGAAATCCCGTTGCGCGAATCGCCAGGACGGGATTTCATTTTCATTTTGATTACTTGGAATGGCACAACTCCAAGTAATTTTGCCAGTTCATCTTTGATCTGATCCAGGAATACACCACTGGGCAGTCCTTTCATGACAACCTTGAACACACGTTCAGTTTTGGTGTCGTAAGTAAAAAAATTGTAAGATACTTGAGAATACATTTAAATCCGTCCAAGGTTTCAGCCAATACACAGCATTCACCCCGACGTCCAGTTTGTAGTGAAAACTTAACTTTCACGAAGTTCAAAAGTTCCATGCGAAGAGCATGGAAATCAGAAGTGGTTATCATAATAGGGGGAATCTTTTCCTTCTTGGCATTAAGCCGGGAAAGTTTACTAGAATTTTTCTTGGATGATGGATCATTCTCATCATCCGTGAGCAAATCAAATTGATTACTCAAATTAATTTCATCAGAAGGGGGGTCAAGAGTTTGCCCCTTTCTTTTGCGTTTAGGCGCCATGGCGGCAGTAATTTTTTATCCAAATCGACTTCCAAGCAGATTACTATAAGAATCTGAAGGCTCGAAGAGGAATTTTCCAAATCAATATCCAAGAAGGATTACCTCGGGTAGGGTCCAAACAAGGATCCAAGAGGAATAAAAGTTGAACAAGGTAGACATTTTACAGGTTGAGCACTGAAAAGTGCTGTTTAAATTTGTTGTAGCTTTAGGTAGTTAGTAACACTTCCTTCAGCAAAAAGCAAATACACTGAAGTCTTTTTTTACACGGTTTTTTTTAAACGGTACGTTTTTAACGATTTCTCGACAACGATACAACATATCGACTTGATTCCAATCACATTATCCGTTTCTAGCTATAGGTAATCGAATGGCATGCTTAGAAAAAAATCACAATTTTTTGTGTAAATACAGAAATTTTTAAAATATGTCTATATGGACCATAGCATGCTATAATTACAAATGGCATCAAAATCTGATTTTTCAAAAACATTTAAGCATGTGAAAAATCAAAATCTCGTAGGTTTTTTTTTTACACGGTACGTATCCCCCGTGTGAAAAAAGACCTGAGTGTAGATCCGCAGGACAAGAGAGCACGATGCAGACTGAACGTACAATTTTATTTTTTCCTAGCTCTTATGTTAAGTCAGCTATTCTAAACCGTATTTAATAGGCACTATTCTACATTAATTGTTAACCCGGTTTCAAAAAACAAAGCAACATACTGGATTCGGACCCGAGTTCGAACCAAGAATCTTACGATCAGTATACCCATACTTTGACCACTAGACTATCAATACTTGTATAAGATGGAAGGCAAAAGGCGTATAAGAAATACCTATGTAGAGCTTCTATTCGCAAGAAATCGGCGATTGACGTGTTTTTTTACAAATGCCATTACGCCCAAATCTCAACCCAACAAACTATTTTAGCTGCCGACCACCAGCTTATACAAGCAAAAATTAGCTGCTTAAGGCAAATTTTGGCTGTATAAAGTTTTCTAAAATTGAAAAATCACTCCGGATTTCTGACGAAGCACGCACCTCTCACAAGATCCAGCCGCTTGCCTTGCCATCTGAGCTATCCTAGAATACAGATATGGACTGCTCAATATTCAATAAAAGCTTCCTTGAAAATGAATACCTATCAGCACTCCCTATGATGACCAACGTGATCATCTCAGTAACAACTCAAGGCGGGAGTAGCCGTCAACAATGCTGATGATGGTACAGCACGCAACAACCACCCTACTGCTTTCTCTATGAGATGATCACGTTGGTCATAACGAGAGGAGCAACACAATAGTTGGGTAAAGAAGAATTGCATTATAACACACCATCGACTGGAAATGCTCTCGCAACGTGGGGCTTTAGGTAGTGATGAAAACGTCGCTAGAACTATTCCACAGCCGCAGTCAGTTTATGAGCAAAAGAAGGACGCACATTTTTTGCCTGTAGACTTGGAGACATACTTCAAGTCTCCGCGTACATCGTACGGGTTAGGCAAAAGATGTGCGTCCAACTTCAAAAACTGTCGCTTTAATGGCCCTTCGCTCTTTTTCAACTTCTATTCAATTTTCATACTGCCGTACTCCAACGGACTCTTCTAAAGATCATTCTCTAGCTAATAAATTATTGATTTGTATAAATTTTACAGTCGGATTATCGGATCATCCCCAATAATCCGGCTACACATTATTGTCCGATTAGCTGGGGAATCTGTACTGGATTAACGTCAATAAAATCAAACACTCTTATTAACCCATATATCATACACTGAGGAAACTGTCCCTACAATTTTCATAAGCAGCGTCGTATGAACGTATGAAAATATGATCTCGACCAAGTTTCATAAGAATCTTATTGTGTGTGGCAGGATAATTTCTCAAAATGGGACTATACCATCTGTTATCTGTTTATGGCCGTACGACTGCGCCCATTGATTTAACACACGGCGGCTCTTTATCAAGGATTCGCTCCTCAATCCGCTGCCATAAAATACTATCTAAATTACACATCTGTGTATAATTCTTATGGGCGGGGTTGCAGCACGCTTCGACCGTCACCAAATGAGAATTTAACATAAGCGCGACAATATTGTCGTACATGATTGACTAAACCCATTCATAATGTCCTACATTGTCCTGCTCTAGGTTAACGATCACTATTATTATGACGATAATAGACTGCTGTTTGTACAATAAAAACTGATACCGTTCTTCTTCTTCTTCGCATTTCAAGCTTATTGCTTATTGCGTGCCAACTGAGTATTTTACAGATGCACTTCCACAGTTATTATATTGAGAGCTTTCGATGCCAGTACCATTTTTGCATTAGTATAAGGTCCAGGCATGTGCCAAACGCCACTACAGTACAGTAAGCCTCAGACAAATATTGACCCGCACCAGGAGAGATGTGGATCCGGACTATATTATCAGAACTTGCCGAACATTCCGGAAGCGTGTTGAGGCCGTAATTGCGGCAAATGGAACTTCTATCGATGATTAACATAGGTTTAAGTTCTTACAAACATATCCCTTTTGAATAAATGGTTTTTCCACTCCGAAAACTTTCAGATTTTTTGTTTGTTTTTACGGTGTAAACATTATCACGCATACGGTATGTTTAACCATGTCACAGTAATACATTGAATGCAATTCACATCGCAAAAATACTTCATTTTCAGTCCATCCATAAAAGGTTATCAATTATTATTAACAATTAATATACAAGAGACGCAATCTACTGCGTAACGCTCGGCCTCGATACTACAATCAACTGATCAAGCACATCGCACAGTACACTGCACTATTTATAATAGCAATGATCATTCATGTTCCAGCAGTTAAAAGATGAAGTCGATCGTGATAGGTTTCCTAGCACTAGGGATTCTAGTTGCTACTATCTTTGGTTTACCAGTGGTAAGTAATGAACCCAAGAGCAGCCGAGTCAAATCACCGAAAATGTAACGTTATTTTTGCAAGCGAATAAAAAGCGTATTTTCACTCTAATTTAGCTGGTTTTTCATTGTATTTCAAGATCAACACTTCCTCTAGTGATGAATAAACATTTTTTTAAATTCCCAAGGAAAATATTTAAAAAAAAATCATGTTTCAATAGTGTTTTTGGCCCGTATGACTGTTGGAAGGATAAAATATTATACCTAACATCACGTTTTTTTTTTTTAAAGCCTTCAGGTAGCTCTGGGGAAGTGATTTGCAACAAAGATGGTTGTATTTTCCCCGACAAGGACTATGGACCATCAGTGACACCGTACACACCGACAATGAAGCCACGAATTCGAACCCTGATTGTACCTCCACTGTGGATTAACACGACTTGGATGGACATCGTTAACAAAAAATCATCTACTGAATCGCCACTTGAAGAGGATAACAGCAAACCAGTGACCTCAGTTAATGATTATGAAACGAGTGAGGAAGATAACATGGTTTAAGAGATCTAGGCTGCAAAATGACACATTAAGAATTTAGGATGTTGTGAAACCACCTAATAGTATAATAGTGCTCCGATAAATAATAAAGTGAAACTATCTTCATCAATAACGTACCATTTTATTTTATCCTAGCTCTTATGTTAAGTCACCTATTCTAAACCGTATTCAATAGGCACTATTCTACATTAATTGTTAACTCGGTTTCAACCTGAATTTCGTGTTAATTTAACAGAATATTGCCTAAAATCTGACAATAACAGCCATGAAAGCTACTCCACAGTACGAAGGATATCAAAACGCTTAAATTACGAGGTTCACTAAAACGTGTAGCGCGAACTCGATGCACCCATGCTGCTCATGGTAAGCGACTGATTCTGGAGGGACATATTTCTACGGGCACTCTTTTTGGCGTTCAGTATCCGAGTTAGCATATCCATCGCATGCGGTAGAAACGGTCGGATGGTGTTCAGTTCGACGATTGTAATGTTATCCAGTTTTATCAGCTCACCTTCTCCTTTGATGAACATATCCGTCGTTGTCCGGAGCTTTGCGCAGCGAATGTCCCAAATATCTTTGATGAGTGTCTTGATTTCATCCGACTGAGGAACATCTTCCGGAGCGGTATTTAGAACCAACTTTGCCACAACCATGTAATGCTCGCTTGGTAGTTTAGTGAAATTCCTGTAATGGAAATTACATTACTCATTAGCATCATTTATCGAACTAGGTATATTATTTTATAACTAAACCTCGATCGTTTCTCTTCCTCCTTGATGTCCTCCAGCAGACTGATGTCCATCCATTGCGGTGGAACGATACGACATTTCTGCTGCTGTCTCAGGTGGATAGCAAACCATAAGGGAATGTGCAACGGATACCCGCCTCGGAATGGACCGATGGCACCCGAGATCAGGTAGATCGGGTCATGGTTGAAGTTGGGAATCACTCCAATGACCAGATTCTCCCCAATAAATTCCAACTCGTCTGGTTCCATCACTTGTATTCTAGATTACGGTTTATTTAGACGATTTAGTTTAGTTTTTAGCCGTGTTAAGATTTAATTTTGGGAAACCGATGTTTGTTTATAATCAGATTATGTCTAAAACTGGCGCGCCACAAAGCAGCCAAAAAATTACAGCATGATTTGAATGCACAAAAAAAATGATGCATAGTGCATAGAATTGACAGCATTCTGAACTCATACACGGAGAACCAAAACTACCCAACGGTTGAGTTCTTTAAACTTACTTTTGAGTAGAAATACTAGAAGGAGAGATGGGCGGAGAAAACCGGAGAAAACAAAATACAATTCGGCAGCAGGGATTTGTATCTAAATTATCTTGCAACCCTAGCTAAAACTTAGCATTTCACATGACTTTCGATTTACGTGTAAATTAATATTGCTGATTGCATCTGAAACTGGACTGTCCAAAAAATGCAAAAAGTGTGATAAAAGTGCACGTTTCCGTCAAATTGTTTTGATGTCTTCGGAGCACTTATTGCTTGCATCATAAGGAATAAGTGCATCGAAGACACCAAGACGATTAGACGTAAACTTGCAGTTTTATCACACTTTTTAATAAGTGAAAACGCGCTTATTAGTCCAATTTGGTGTAAACGCGCAATAATTGATTGCATCGCAATATTTTGCGAATTTTCGGTGCCATTAATTAACCAACTAAGATCAATTAATTAATAGAGCTAGAATATCCCTAATAAAAATTGTATGGTTAATTTGCTTAACGACGTGTTCTGGGTATCATCCAAACCATTTGTGGAATAGTTCAATGATTTGGGTTATCGTTCGTTTATGGTCATTTTTTATTAGGGATTGCTTTTGATTCTAAAAACTAGTTGAATTTGAGAAGCACACGAAAGATAAGGGTGATTGAATTTCTGTTCCATTGCAATACTCTCAAATTTAATCTAGTAAGAATAAGAAATCCTCGGAAAAAATCTAATGGGAATGTTCGTTTGGCTCAGATGTTGACAGTTCATTTGGCTCAAAACCCTCAAAACATTAAAAAAAGGGGGATGAGTACTTAAGGGGGTTAGATTTTGATAAGTTCTTTAGTGGGAATGACACTGATGAAGACTGCACATTGTAGTCGAAATACGTATCTGTCATGGATACCAAAATTAATTAAGTGGAATTAAATGGAAGATAACCTTTTTTGCTGTTTTATTTAGCATTCCGCTAACAACCCAATTTCATTACTTCACCTCAAAACATAGTCCTCTCCAGGTGGGTTCGTATTGGTGCTATTTGCGTGTGTTAGTGAGATGAAATTTTTTGTTAGCTGTGAGAAATTTTTTGTTTGCTGTAAGAACTGTCATTCTAAAGTAAAAATAAACAACAAAACGAAAACAAACCCTACGCTTGCACGGTAACAGTCAAATACCCTTTTATGAGTAAAATTTAAGCAATTTTTAATAAAAGTGGCTTTACTCATTAATGAGTAAATTATTTTAACAACAATGAGTTTCTGCTAACAGTAGCTAACAGCTACTACTTAATTGGCATAATAAATTACTCATTAATTAGTAGTGCCACTTTTATTGACAATGCACAGCAAAAAAAGTTGTTGAATATTACATCGAAACTGATGCAACCAGGTCAATCCATCGGTTGTGTAATATCACATTGTACGATGTACATCGATTTTGCGAACAAAATTACATCCATTGATGTAATATTGTATCTACTTTTTGCTATTACATCATTATTTCATACATCAGCTTGAATTACGTTGATCGATATTACATTTTTTTTTGCTGTGTGGGTTCACCTTTACTCATAAATGGATGTTTGATTCTTACCGTGCACATGACAGTATACGCTAGTGTGTGTAAAATTATATTGTTAGTGTAGTGTTCGTGAGATCATGCTTGGAGAACTCAAATCTCTCCGCTCATCTCTCCTTCTACACGGTAAGAAAAAAGCACCCAAAAGTAAATTCTTTTCACTCATCTCGGCACTTTAGTGCAGGAACCCAAAAGTAGGTAAAGCGGGTCAAAGTAGTTTTCATTTACTTGTGTGCAATTCGCATGGAATTTTCCACTCGCTTTCTACCCAAAAGTAAGTTAGTTGTACCCAAAGGTAGGTAAATATGACTATACTCAACGTTGGGTTCCGACACTTTACTACCCTTGTTGGGTGGTTTAGCTCCTCCGTTTTTGACAACATTAGAAGGAGGAAAGGAGACAAACTAGTCAAAAGTAGGTCAAAGTGCAAAGTTTGTTGTCGTGGGGTAATTTGAGATTAATTTCAAGTGGCCGCTCCTCGGGATGGGAAATTTGCAGCACAAACCCAGGCACACAATATACTGGGTCTCTAAAACCACTAGTCGTTCCCGTATAGGTCACACGGAGGCCCATTCTTGGTTCCATTACAATCCAGTATATCCAGCAGACGTAAACAAAAAGATCCAATAAAAATACAATGATTTTCATTGTCATTGTTGTAACCATGATATTTACCGTCAAAACATTGGACATTTTTGTCCATTACCATAAAATCACAACGAAATTCATAGTTCACAAAATGAAAATCATGGTATTTGAGAAATTTATAGTATAGGGGGTTGTTAAGCATCTTAACAATAAAAAAAAAGTGATTTTTCCCGAAAAAATTTGATCTCATCACACTTATTTTCGTTGTTTGAGCAATCGAAATCTATTTTTTCTACCGTACAATAATTTAACAATAAATTGTAATGTACTCAAAATTCAACAGTAAAAATCATTGTAATTTCGTTGTTTTATTATAATTATTTTTTTTCGGGCAGCTACACAAGCTGAATAATATCGGTGCATCAAAAACGGCATTTTTTTTATTAACTTTCAATCACAGTGCAATGAAAATTCACATTACATTATTGCTGCTTGCATCGAAAATTGGACTGCTCTAAAAATAAAAAAAAGGATGATAAAAGTGCACATGTAGGCTAAGGGCACGCAATAACCTTTAACTTTAACGCAGGCAACGGCTGTAATTAAATTAATTCCATTAACTACTGCATTAATTACATTAATTATACAATGCAGAACATTAACTACTTTTTAACTCCATTGATAACAGTTGGAATTTCGTAATTAAAGTACATTCATTACATTTTCAATACTTTTAATTGCATTAATTATGGATAGATAATTTTAATTACCGTCAGTACTACTTCAAAACGCATTAATTACTTTAAGTACTTTTGATTGCATTTTAACTTCATCGCACCGGTTCTTTGTATTGCGTGCCCTTCCTTCTAGCCATGAACACGCATACAAAATGTATGAGTTGGTTCGTGTCTAATCTATTCCGGGCAAATTATTTTTTTTTTCTAGAAAACAAATTTCTATGGTTTTGACAGATGGGATCGCTGCACATTTGAATCCTCCGTTATGGTTCTACAAAGGGTAATTAAATTTGTATTCGTCTTCTTTTTGAAATATTCTTCAATCATCATCATTGGTTTACACATACATTCTCATATTATTAATACAAAATTTAACACTTGTATTTCATGATTTTAGAACGAAAACTTTCTGGGTAAAACATATTCACTGTGTTTACTTACTTGTATTCTTCGAAGCTAAGCACAATAACACACAATCGAATACACAAAATCCAAAACAACTGCTACTCAAAACTCTTGGTGAACAAAATTGAACACCAAGAAAACCACCACCAAACCACCGGTAATCGTAAAAGTATCATTGAAAAAGCGTTGCCAGATGTATTGCCTTTAGCAATGGATTATAGTTTATTAAAACAAGCAATTGTGAAGTTTGACTCATTAATATAGATGAGTGGATGTATTTAATGGTGAATAGTGGAATCTAAGAGAAATTTATGCGTCACTAGTGGCGGGAAATTGTACCAGTCGATGGTGATAAATTTATGACAGCTGGTTCAAATTCCATAGTTTGAATGATAAATTATTGAAAAAAAAGTTCAAATAGTGAGATACGATCATTTTTATGAATGATACATGTAGGAAATTTGTCGAATAATGCAATATTATATAAATTTTCATTGCACTGTGATTGAAAGTTAATGAAAATGCGTTTTTTGATGCACCGATATTATTTAGGTTATGTTGTGTATGACTGCAGATTCTCATCCCAAAATTGACGTCCATGTCTGCTGGATATACTGGATTATGTTGGGACTCCATGTGACCTATACGGGAAGGACTAGCGATTTTATAGACCCAGTATATTGTGTGCATGGGCTACACCAGTAGAATGGGTTTGTGCTGCAAAATTCCCATCCGGGGGAGCGGCCACTTGAAATTAATCTCAAATTACCCCACGGCAACAAACTTTGCAACTTATTTTATACTTATTCGCTCTGTCCCTGCAAACAGTGGTAACTGTAGAGTATAAACCAGCAGTATATAAAAAAAAATAAATAAATAGTAAAACAATCAAGTGTATATTTGTTCCAGTGCATTCCAGCAGCCTAGCTGTAAACTCGTTCTGATAATATTCCCCTATTTACATTTCATACTATGTACAATGTACATTAGTCGCTTAGATGCGAGACAGTAACTCAGTTTCCGGAATAAATGGGTGAGAGAACAGACCCGAAAGAAAGACTCTTTTAATCGATCTTCGTATATGGTTCGGTACCCGACTCATCGCTCTTTCTCTTCAAAGAAGAGAATTCGCTCAGAAAATACGAACTAAAGCACGAATAAAGGGTACACAAAAGAAGGAGAGAGCATCGTGTCAAAAAAAACGAACGGCGTGAGTGGAGTCAGTTTTTGGAGAGAAGTTGTTGGAAACAGACGTGTTTGTGCGACACCGAAAAAATAATAATAAAAACAAAATGGAGGTAAAAAGAACGGCTGGATGCGACAGTAACCTTTCTCCACTAAGCGAATTTGTTGCTCCCCGACTTCGAAACCCGAAAAAGTTCAAATTTGTACTCGTTGCATCCCGGGATAATGGAACGATCTTGCAACAGCAATGAAAATGTTAAGCGGTGGAGATTAACGTTAAAAAAAATCAACTATTTTCCTGATTGCAACCAGTGATATCATTGAAGTCATTTTCCTTTTTGAAGAAGGCTTCTTTTCCTACAATTTTACAAGCTTTTTGATCACTAAAAACGTACAAAAAAAAAACCAAAAATATCCAATTTAAAAAGCGAAAACTCTTATATGAGTCACGTTTGACAGATGTTTTACATTTTTATGACCGCTACGACAATAGCGCCACAGGTGGCCGGTGGTTGGTTGGATTTGACTATAACAAAAATGACCATTCTAGGCATTTTACCGGTCCAATTTAAAAAGCCACAGAAGATTGAATTCAACACTAACAGGGTTCATGGCAGCAGTGCACGTAGCCTGGTATTCGCTTTCCCGCTCAGAGGTTTAAACGAACTTGCATACAGCGAAGTCTGGCAGTGTGAACGTTTTGTCTGCTACATTCTTATGCACTAGATAGTGTGACATCACATTTGCTGTTCACAGCAAAAAAAAAAATGTAATATCGATCAATGTAATTCAAGCTGATGTATGAAAGAATGATGTAATAGCAAAAAACAGATACAATATTACATCAATGGATGTAATTTTCCCATTCCCGCAAAATCAATGTACATCGTACAACGTTATATTACACAACCGGCGGAATGATATCTGTGCAGCTGTTTGGATGTAATATTCAACAACTTTTTTTTCTGTGTTGTATTGAAATGAAGGAAGAAAAGAGATGGTTCAATTTTCCTCACTATACCAGTTGATATTTATGAAACATGGGCGGTTTTGGCGTGGAGACATGCACTTCCAATGAATTTTACCCATACATTTAGAAAATGATGATCGAAGAATATTTCAAAAAGAAGAAGTAAACAAACTATTGACCCTTTGTAGAACCTTATGGATTCTCGATCAAGAGTTAAGTTTAAGTTTCATTTGGCTTTGTCGGTGGTTCTACTTTATGGCTTATCTGATCTTAGCGTCTTTTAATGTCATTATTGGGTATTTTTCGGTTACCGTGTGTATCTTTTCGTTCACGCTGTTTTTGAGATTCTCGAGGCCATGGTGGGTATATAAATGGTGATACGGCTTTGTCAGTAATAGGCGAGGAGGTCGCGGGGGGGGGGGGGAGTGCGTTTTTAGTGCAAATTGTAAATAAACTCGGTCGCTGTCCCATACTAAAATCCAACATGGCTGAATCATGAATTTGACACATTAGAATACCTATAATGCCTATAATCAGTCCAGTGGCAGGCGCATAGGCAACATGTCATACAGTGACAGCGGGCCCAGCACAGCAAAATAAATTATTTGAGCCCGGGACCAAGGTGTTCTAATGTGTCAAATTCGTGATTCGCCATGTTGGATTTTTGTATGGGACAGCGACCGAGTTTGTTTACAATTTGCTCTAAAACCGCATTTTTCCCCCTCCCCCGCGACCTCCTCGCCTATATAGTGACAAAGCTGTATCACCATTTATATACCCACCATGCCCGGGACATGCTGCCTATTGTCAAACGCTGCTGTTAGTATACACTCAAAAAATTTATCACATATCTAAAGGATAAAATCCATGTGAATTTCACATAGCTTTCCTGTGATAACATAGCAGCAAATCCCACCACAAAATCACATGAATATTATGAGGCCGATGAAATTCATTTGCAAAATCACATAAATTTAATGGGATCGCATATGTGTTATGTGAAATTCAGATGAATTCCATTAATTTTGATTATGGATGAAAATCATGTACATTTCTAATGGAAGGTACACCCTAATAAAAATTGTATGGTTAATTTGCTTAACGACGTGTTCTGGGTATCATCCAAACCATTTGTGGAATAGCTCAATGATTTGGGTTATCGTTCGTTTATGGTTATTTTTTATTAGGGCATGCAAACTCTTTTCGGTGTAGGCCTTGTAACTGGTCTATACCTACACTGAAAACAGTCCCATGGTAACCACTACTATTTCGTAGGTTAAAAATGAAAACAAAATACCACTAAATTTCGGTAGAACGAATATTGTATTTGAAATGAATACAACTCAGTGCCAACATTTCAAAGGGGCGTAATTGCTTTTATAAACAATGGCTTTTGCCGTCGATTTCTCGCAAATAAAAGCCCACCCCTCCAAATTACCAATGCTAGCTGGGACAGGAAACATTCTTCTACCTGCTGATGTCATTCATTTTCATGAGTGAGCTTTCATTCGCAAGAAATCGAAGACGAAAGTCATTGTTTACTAATGCAATTACGCCCCTTTGAAATGTTGGCACTGAACTGTTGTTGATGTTACCATGCTGCGTCAAAAACGTTGGCGTAGTACGGTGAACCATTCTTCTAGCATAAACAAAAACAAAAATGATTGCATCAACTACAACGTAAATTATTGTTGTAGTAAACGAAATTTCAGTTAATTCTACTACTATTGAGAACAGTATTGTTAACCATATTTATGTATTAATTTCTACTGTAAAAATAAAATTGCATTGATTTGAGACTTTCGACCTCTTTGTAGATTCCAATCAAATAAAAAATTTCATAATTTATTTATTTTGAAATACTCTGCACAACATACACACACTAAATGGTCCTGATTGAGCAATGGTTGTGATTTGATCCAGAGATTTAGCAGGATTGCAGGAAGGCGGTGCCGGTCAGATCACGACGCTTTTATCAAAGTGCATGTTTGTGTCCGTTATTCCATATGGTTCAAAGCCTGTCAAAAATCTAATGTTAAAAATTATATATTTAATAATAGTTACTGATTACCAATTGACATAAACAGATGAATCAAGCTCCTGATCGAAAAATTCTGCTGTTCCGGTATTTCGTCTGCTTCCACATAAATAAACCTTCATTAAATTAAAATTGTTTACCTTTAATGAGTCTTACCTCCACAACAACAATGATTCCAGGAATGATCCAATGGTTCAACTTTAGCTGCCACTTTTATCTGCAACCTGAAAAATACCCGCTGATACGCACTTGTCGAATGAGTTTTTAAAAAATGGCGATCATGCAATAATCTGTGAGCAGAGCAGTGAAATAGTAATGGTTTTGTTTTCCAACCAAACAGCATTTCTGTTGATGTTACCATATTCTCAAGGTAACATGATAAATTTGAAGTATTTTTAACCATGAATGTTATTAATAATACTACATGAAATTCTATGGGGAGCATAGTAAATAAGTTAAAAACATAATAGAATTGAAATAAATATCGGTTGATTTTACTATGAGCTGTCATGGTATAATTAAACACATTTCAATGGTACGTGATACCATACTATTTTTATCAGTGTAGTCATATATTGCTCGAGGCGTTTATGCAGGATGCTACTCTGACTTTATGCTGCGGTTGAAGCAATCAGCAAATGCTGTGACTTTTTGACATCGAGATCTGTCATGTTGCGTCCTCACGTAAACATGCGTTTGTCTTGTAACATCATATTCGTACTGCCGTCGTCGTAATTATTTTTTGCAAAAGTTTACAATTTCGGTGGAAAAATCTAATTTATTATAGAAGGGACTCATCGTAGTGAAATGTGTGTAGAGTAAACAATTAGTTTTATTTATTTCCCGAAATGTCTGAAACTAAAGAAATGCAAACCGAAGAGCGCGAAGCGCTGGTTTCGATCTACGAGGGAGACGGCTGCTTTAAGCAAGTGAATGCAGAAACTTATCAATACAAGGTTTTATCCCCTGTAAGGACATTTGGGAATGTGACAAAATTTAAGTTCTATGTTTATTTCAGTACGGCGAAGAAGACGGATGCAAATCATTCCTGTTGGAAATCTGCTGGCAAGAGACCTATCCCAATGAACTTCCAACTATCAATATGGAAACGTTTTACAATAGAAATCTGTAAGTAAATTCGTAAGTAAAATAAGAATAGTAGAATAATTCATTTTCCCAAATTGCATCCATCAGGTCCCGCCCCGTCAAAGATAAAATAATCTCTATACTGAAGGAAGAAGGCGAGCAGTGGCTGGGTTGCGGCATGACCTACACGCTCTTTGAGTGCCTTAAGGATAAAGTAGAGGAATTACTGGCGGACGAGAGCGTGAGCAATGCTAATGATCAACAGATAATAGGAACAAACCCCCAGGATGCCGATCAGGGCAGCTCGGATGAGAATGATGCGGACGAGCGGGGGATAAAATCCATTGCCGGTGCAGGAGGTGGCGGACAGAAGAAGGAACAACTGACCAAGGCACAGAAACGAAAACAGTGGGATCGAGTTGACAACAAGGGAAATCGCCCCAGGGGCTATGACTGGATAGACATAATCAAACATCTATCGCAAACCGGTGGAAAACAGGAGTAATAGAATACAAAGGGAACAGGAATTTATCTAGATAGGCTCTTATTACGATGAGTCGCTCTCGCTCAGTGTTGTTTGAACAATTGCTGAAAATAAATGCAAGTTGGTATTGCTGATTTTTGTATTGTCTAGAAGTTTTACTCTAATCGTCGATGGCATGATGTTCACAAACTATGTGGACAGATTTCGAGAGATTTTAGACCGGACCCGCTGAGTGGAAAATCTTTGTTGGGGAACCGAATACTTGCTTTCGCCTTCGACAGGCGTCTGGGCTCCTCAACACTCGAAAGCTGATGTAGGGGATGACGGGGTAAAACGGCCACGCTTTAGATTATTGAAAATATCAATTCTGGTAAAAACAATAATGATGCAGAATTCTTTGCTATACAGATATACCTCGATATAGCGTTAGCGTTGTTATGATATACTTCGTAGATTGGATACTAGCGACACTCTGTGTAGAGATGAACTAGTCTATGGCTAAAAATCTCTTAAATAAAGATAAAAAAAAAATAAAAAAAACTAGCGACACTCACGTCTCTTCTGAAATTCTCAGTTATAGTACGTTCAGACTACAGAGTTATAACAACAATCAATACGAAACTATCGATTTTAAATTGGCTCACTACTTGACTACCCTATTGGTCCCAAGCAAACGATTAACGTACCCCATTCTAGTCGAAATTCTTGTACTACACAATGTTTGTTTTGATTCGCTATGAAAGTTTGACAGATAAAATGAGGGGTTAGTGGATTTTCCTATGTTTCGAGGGGTGAATCGATTAGCTTGGGACCGAAAAGAGTACCAGAGCTGAGCCAAAAAGTTGAGCACGTTTCTTCGGGACCTTCTAGTCTTAGAGTTACCTCTATGGTTATAATATGTTATAGCTCTGTAGTCTGAACGTACTATTAGACTACTTTCAGGAATAATGCTAGGGAGTAAACATTGGTTCCAATCTAAACAAGAGTAACAGAAGCATGACTGTCGCTATTCCCGGCCACGCCCATCTTTACCATAACTAGGGATAGGGAAGGAAATGTTGATGTAGTACTTACTTGACGAGAGGCCACCGGCTTATAGTACGTTCAGACTACAGAGTTATAACAACAATCAATACGAAACTAACGATTTTAAATTGGCTCACTACTTGACTAGCCTATTGGTCCCAAGCAAACGATTAACGTACCCCATTCTAGTCGAAATTCTAGTACTACGCAATGTTTGTTTTGATTCGCTATGAAAGTTTGACAGATAAAATGAGGGGTTATTGGTTTTTCCTATGTTTCGAGGGGTGAATCGTTTAGCTTGGGACCGAAGAGAGTACCAGAGCTGAGCCAAAAAGTTGAGCACGTTATTTCGGGACCTTCTAATCTTAGTGTTACCTCTATGGTTATAACATGTTATAGCACTATCTTGATGGTGGTTTCTGTGTTGCAATTATTTGACAACCGTTATAACATGTTATAACTCTCCAGTCTGGACAGCGTATTAGCGACACCCTCATAAGTGCTACGGAGTTGGAGGGTTGGGTAAGGTATTCGGTTAGGATTCACCTCAAGTTGGCGATGTAACCAAAAGTATGTCTAGATAGAGCTGGAATAAGGGCGTAACAGCCTTTGTAAACAATGACTTTTATCGATGATTTCTATGAACTCAAGGCATGCCCACACAAACCATCATAACCGTCGGGTAGGGGAAGTCGTCCCCTACCCAGTGGTGTTGTTGTTTTGCGTTGACAAGTCTTAACTTTCTAGAAACCATCGAAAGAAGTCATTGTTTACAAAAGCTGTTACGCCCTAATTCCAGCTCTATCTAGATGTATTGTTTATTTGTTTTTTTTTTTTTTAATTTAATCTCTCGATAGCCGGCTATCGAAAGAATTCAAAACTCCGAAAATCACTCATCTATAGCAAGTGAGTGGAAGCAACCCTGCATGCAACCATTCTTCATGATACACTTTTTCTACCTATGTTTCTATTAGGCATGTGGACATGCGTTAGCTTCGAAACTTCTAACCAAACTGGGAAAATTTTCAGAACAAAAAAAAAACTTGAAAAAAACTTTCAAAGGTAATTACAAGTAAAATAAATATTGATTATTTTACGCAAAAACGAGCTAGTAATATTAAATCTCTTGTATTGTATGCTAATGCTTATTGACTGTAACAAAAATAATATACTTAAATAAAATAAAATATTAATAAAATTATATGCAAAATTTACTTTATTGGTGAGAAGTATCTAATAAGCCCTCCCAGTTCCTGTGTATATAGAACAAATCTGATACTGTAATCAGAATTGCTCAGTCTGCATGAAGCAGCCGATTTCATCAAGGAAGTTCTATTAACAACCAAGAATTAATCGTTTGAGGCAGGTGCGAACTACGTAGATCACCATCCTTCGCACGGAGAACTCCTCGCTGTGACTTGACGACCAGCTCGGTCGGTAGAAGTAACGAACATTCCAGTTTGTCGGATCCGGATTAACGTTCGATTGGTGGTACATACTTTATTTTTAGGAACATTAACATTCTTGCTAAATGTTCACGTAAACCTTGGAAATTGCAACAACAATGCTAGATTTTAGATGAAATATGTTATATTTTGCTAAATTTTGCCACTTTAAATTTCCACTAGCGGCGAGAGTGACAAAGGTGGGAAATGCAAATGACGTTTCACCGCTGCCAGTAAAAGTTGATATGAACGCGGATTTTTGACAGTTGAACAATTTTTCTTTTAAATAAATGAACTTTTAAAATTACAAGCCAAAATTGAAAGAAGTTTTTTCAAACTCATAGCAATACCGACTGATTAGTCGAACTAAATATAGCTAACAACAATGATACTGTATTGAATAATCCTTGTTTGTTATTGTTCCATAAGATAAGGGGTTCCGGAAAAGAATGTATTGAGATTGAAAAAAAAAAATTCAACAGCAATGTTTACTTTGCTAAGATTCTAATTGTAAGCCTTCTACACACAATTAGAAATTATCACCAACTTCGGTAATTTTTACCGAAATCTGAACAGCTGAACTGTTCGGTAAAAGCTACTTTGAAACTAAATCTCTACTAAAATGTCAAGATATGATCATTTAAACAAGGTTGAACATGTTATGAAATTATTTTCAAATTCAATTGCCTTTAAAATGAAGGTCAAAGTTTTACGGAATGTTCAGTTGTTCTGATTTCGGTAAAATTTACCGAACACGGAAACAAAATCTTAGTGTGCACGTCTGATTCAGATTCCAGCACTAGTACTCGAACTTCATGAACCAGTTCCATGAACTCATATAATGTAGTCGTTGTTTTATTGCTGCTCCTGTGTGAAAGATTTGAATACACGACACCACCGAAACGGAGCATAAATTTGTCAGTGCTCTTTTTCTTCACTCTAGCACTACATTCCATGTCGGGAGAGCTGTGTTTACTTCATGCTAATTGAACTAGTTCAAGCTTGAAGTCAGCAGTGGCCCAGTGGAATCGAGCGCAGACACCGAAAGCATCACACCTCAACAGTTCTTGATCGAATCCCAAATCCGCTACAATAAAAAAAAAGACACAACCGTGAAAGGCTCCTCCCACTGCCACTGCCTGATGTTTATTTTTCGATTTATTTTTAGACATCGATTAAATATATGTGTCAAAAGAAGAAGTAAATTTCATGTGATTTTCACATAGACTTTACTTCGATTAATTTATGGCACATATATTATATTGTGGTGAAAAGTAAAGCTTATGTTTATGGGTTTCAAATCCATTTCAGCTAATTATTATAATTTGACCGATTTTCATTTATCATATGGCGATCATATAAAAGTTCCCAAATTATCAGCATTGTAAATGTATCAGATATTCATATAGAATTTACCTGACACATTTTCAATCATGTAATTTTCATTGGATAGCGCAAATTTATTAGACTTCCACATATCAGGAAGATGTCATATTGGTTCAGTGGGATTTCTTGATACGTCAGAAATTAGCTTCACCCCTCATTCAGCCATATCGTTGATAACCATGAAGGAAGCAACTCGTTGTATCGCATTGAAATAATCTGTATCATTACTCCACTCGTTTGCCGGTTTTTGGATGAAGTCGGTCGAAATTTCGAAAAGAAATCAGCACTGTTAGAAGTGACGTTTAGCTTGGGAGCCCAACTGAAACTTAACCCACTTAAAGTTAGCCCAACAAGCGAAAGCCGACTGTACCTGTGTCTGAGACGAAACTGGTGAAGACAGTTTTCGTTTTCTCTTGTTTTTGGTTCTTGACGTACGACTACTTTTGTGTTTTCTATACGCGGGTGGCGCAGATGGCAGTTTAATATTTTAAATAAAAGCTTTGTATAGAAATTTAAAAGTTCCCAGCTGCTAATAATTCAAACAACATCTCCTCACTAACAAATGAACCGAAAAGTGGATATTAAATATTTACACTACAACAATTTTCGTTAGCGGCGCCGGTGGTGTAGCGGTAATGTTCTGAGGCATAACAGCCGTTGGTCCCCGGTTCATGAGTTGATGGGTCGATAGGTAGGGTCCAGGTGTGGGAGCTGCCTTCCTGGCGTCGGTAGCATTGGTGCTCAGCACGGAAAACAAGATCGACGGGAAACAAATCAAGGGAAATAACAATTTTCGTTTTAAAAACTGCATACTGTAAGCCCCCTCTCACCCCCCCCCCCCCTACAAAGCTGTTTAATAACGCTTATGAGATTGAGCAAATGGTTTTAAATAATTCATCCTGAACATACCAAATCGATAAAATAAGAAACTCCGAAGTTATTTCAAACTGAAACTATTGATATGAGTGAGGGGGGTGGGGTATATTATTACCCCCCCCCCCCCCCATCCTCTCCAACTGCACATATGAGATAGAGCAATTGTTTTTGAATAATTCATCTGAATATACCAAATCGATAAGATAATAAACTCCGAAGTTATTTCAGTTTGAAACTTTACTTCTATTCATATGAGTGACCCCCCATCCCCCCTCCGACTACGCATATGAGATAGATCTATTGTTTTTGAATATTTCATCTGAACATACCAAAATGATAAAATAATTTTCTTCGAATTTGGAGTCTCACTTTCATTGGTAAACCGGCAAAAAAGGATTTTTGGTATTTAATTCGAAACATTGATCTTTGAACAGCTATAAAATTTTTTAGGGGCATTCTAGCACAATACGTTACTGAGCAAAGTAGTTAGGCATTTCCTGGGATATACTTTAACGTATTTAGAAGCGTGGTTTGTGCAAAATTGTGGTCCCTAGTAATAAAGATGCAAAAAAGTAGGTTTTCCCATACAAATTTCAAATGCAATGCGGAAAGCCGGGTTACAACCAATCGTCCCCAAATTTTTCATAGTTGTTTGGGACCCCAAATGGAACCAAAAAAATATTGTTCTGAAAAAAATTATCATGATGGCCCATCCTAATGCTCACTGTCGATATGGTTCATCAGCGATGGAAGGCTCACTAATCCAAAACATCCGCCCATGACGGCACACTGCCACGACATGAGCTAGAGATGCCGGCCATAAACCCACCGTCTCCAACGCTCCATTATGACACGAGATTAAGCCCTCCCACCAACGTCAAGGTGCAAAAACTAGCCATGGGGAGGGATATGACAATTTGATTTTGGGGTCAAATCTGTATTTTTTTTTGTACCGGCCCTTATTACTAGTGTCACTTCACGATGAAAACGAAGTGAAGTGATCACTTGTCACTCACGGTTAAGTGATTGCCGGGTAAATCAAAAATAGGCATCACTGCATAGGAGAAAGCCGACGAAGTGGCCTTGTAAAGGGTTAAAATCAGGAGACCCCAAGAAAGACAAACATGGTCAAAATATTCTGAGCATGAGCATGATTGACCGCCCACGGTTGCGACTCTGTTATTGCCAGATCAGCTGTAATTACACAGATAACCAAGAGACGATGCTTGGGACTAGCAATCATCCTCAATGTGTAAAAACTGGTGATCTCAAACTAGGCAATACCAGCGCCGGCCGCACCCGAACACAGGTCAAGAAAGGAAGGGGTAGGAATGTGTTGACGTGACACTTGCTTTGATGGAAGCCGAGAACACCTCTGCACTTCCACGAGGAATCACTGGGATACTGGGTAATAGGGTTGGGTTTGCAGCAGGGTTCGTTTTGGTAAACGATAAGCTGAATTGATTCCCTAACCATCATATAACACGAAGAAGCTTTTGATTGAACCCACGGTCTTCTGCTCAGTAAGCAAAAACGTTTGCCACTAGGCAGACGAGCACCTTTTTAATCATCGAGTTGCTGTTATTACCATGTAGTCATGTTAACAAATAGAACGATTGACGAATCTTGAGATTAGACTCATGATATTCTGCTCAATAAGCAAAACCGGTTGTGCTAAGGCCACCGAGCCTCTCATATCACATTAAAGCGTTACTCAAGTTTTTTATGACTATTCAGACCCGGCACCGACGACAACGAAAAGTTTTACAAAATACACGATAAACAAGCGATCTAACCATACATTTTTAATATGAAAGGATCTGGGACCGCGTTTTTCTGCTCAGTAAGCAAGCCACTGCTACCGACGATCTTTGAAATCCTTAAACTAAAAGCTACGAATGAGGCCTTTATTACGATCCATTTTCACGCGACGTTAAATCTTTTGATTTTCTCGTTACGCATGGTTCAGGTAATCATAACAAGCTATGACCGACGTGACGATTGTTTAAGACCTAGTTGAACAAGCTATTAAAATGAAATTACGGTCTCGAATTTTACTTGGCATGTAATGAACAACAGAAATACGCGATAATTCATATTTTCAGCGGTTGATGGTTAATTTTAAATATACTAACGGTACTGCCTACGACTACGACGGCGATTACGACAGCGACTACGACAACGACAACAACGAATTTGTAACTTACTATTTGTCTAGGATAAACACCTTTGCCCGGCACCTCCACTGGTTCTTCATGTCCGCTATCTGTCACTGTTTGCAAAATATCTAATAACAATTACCTTCCAATACCAATACTTCCTGTATTGCCATGGTCATCTGGGAGGAGGGTCGCATCTAGTGCTTTCCCCAGGAACCGTTCACGGCCACCAGCTACTGCCCGTTCAGTCTTGGGCGTATCCAGAGAGGCATCCTTCAGATTACTTAAATATCCGACACTCAATGCAAATCGCAGACACACTTACGCTAGTTACAAAAAAAAAAGCACCCGTGCAAAGAAACGGATCAAATAAACGTCACTCTCGCGAAAGCACGCATTTCACCACACCCAACTACGAAACACGTTCAGAAGCACTTTCCATACATGGTCAAAATATTCTGTCCTAGAAAGTCGTGCTAAACAGTGTAGTTAGTAAATAATAGTAACTGATACGAAGGACCACCCAGGGAAGCTTTCTTTTGTAGTTCTACAAACACAAACACATTGGCTCAAACGTGATAATGCAGGCAATGTATGCAAATTTATAAGCGACTCAGAGTGGAACAATTCTAAAACGAATGTGAGATCTTAAAATCAGACACAAAATTGCATGGGCTCGTGTCTGTTGCCTTGTTTCAGGTTAATTTGTTTTATTTATCTTTCTTCCAAAAGCAATCCTATTTTATTCTACTGCCCTATTGTTTTCATATTTGTTTTAAAACTTTTCGCGTGTCATAAAATGTGCTTCTATATATGAAAGTATTGTTTGAATTAATTGTAGGTATTTGTTTTTCAAAGCAATCACTACAAATCACTAGCTATAATGTTGTGAAAAAGTAGAGTCAAAAATCGTGTTAAAAGTGCCTACGTAAAATGTTTTCCGTCGCGGAAATCACACTAGGTACGTGTCGTGGCGCTCCTTGCTATTGTGTAACTTGGATTTGTTGTTTGTTGCATGACGTGATATGACTAAAATTTCACACGGACAGACAAACCTTTAAGTTAATCAAAGGTCAACGGTAATTTATAGGTTTTAGTGCTTTTTGGACTAGAATTGATAGAATTCAATCTGCTCTGCGGCTCAGCTATAATACAAACTACTACGGCATTCGTTGTCCCCCTCGGGTGTAGAAAAAAAGGAGGGACAAGCCGTTCTCACTATAGGTTGGAATGTGTAGAAAAATAGTTTCTAGTTATAGTGTCGGATCATTCCCTAAAATTGTTGGTTGTAGAATATCAATTTGCGAGACAACTCTCCTAAGATCTAAAAACACATTTCGATGTTTCGATTATTAGTTTTGTGTTATTTGGATTTGAACTGCCTTCGCTTTTGGTCCAAAATGCTGTCCACTTTAGTTATATGTTAATTGAGACTAGATTGCTTCTTTGGCACCCTAATAGTCGCTCATTTGTCGGTTGTTCAAAAAATTGGAAGGTTTTAAAGTTATATTTTCGTAATTGCGCAATTTTCCCGCTAAAATCTATCGGTTTGTTACTTTCTAAAAGTGGTTATATTAAAATTTCATCCGTCGAGGTGCCGCAAAAGACTCATTTATGACCTAGCATTACCTTTTATATCCTCCAGTCCAGTCGGTACTCATCGGTTTTGAGTAGATGCGCCTGAATGTTCCAACCCTCGCACTGGGCTAGATTGAGGAACTCGTTCCACTTGTTCTGGATCTCCCAGTAGCGATCACGTAGCTGATTTTTGTCCTGCAAGTACGAAGCCACGTAGAAGTATGCTTTTATGATGTCCATCGGTTTTGAAGTGAAGTGTAGATAAACTCCGACGTAGTTTCGGGTTTCCGCAATGAGAAATTTGTCTCGCGAATCGAAACATGCCATCAAATTCTCCAGGTCGTAACAGACGCGATAGTACTGAGCAAGCTCTCGAGCGGAGCAGCCTATCTTGACCCTGGCCGTCAGCGTAACCGTTTGTCCGATGGTCACCCGCTCCAGCTTGTTGACCTGTTGCGGCGAGAGCATCCTCCCAGACTTAAAATACTCTTCCAGGGCAATAAGATAGCGAGCCTCGTTGAAGGTGCGCAAGCAGACGGCTTTAACTGCTTTAATATTAGCGTAGATATGCAACAAGGTTACAAACAGAAATAATCCGTATAAAACTCTAGAAGAAGACACATTTCATACAATTAAATTCTTTTCACAGAGCAGACCGGAAGCACTTACTTTTGATCCTGTACATGCGTCAGCAGAAATAATCCAGCAAACGAAGCAATCAGATTGACACACGTTTCCTGTGCACTGTCCTTCGATGCCACATCGGCCAGATTACCCCGGATGGCATGATGCTGCGTTAAAGCGGACCTGGTGGCACCACCGGCTACACCAACGATGGCCTTCATCGTGGTTGTCGCACAGAGAATGAACGTCGAAGCTTTCGGATAGTACGGCAGCACGAACAGGTCGATGCCCATTGCCACATCATTCAAAATGTCCGCTCGAATGCGCCATTTTTTCGAATCGATATCCAAATCCGTCCTGCAATGAAATCAAATTTGTAACAATGTCACAATTCTACTACTTTCAATCGAATATTTACCCTTTCCACCAGGCAAAGATAATTCGTCCAAAGTGGCCCATTCCATCCTTGAGCACCCATGTAATGGTGGCGGAAAGTGGATTAGCCACGTCGCTACCCACTCCGACACCTTTCAAAATCGCATGTGTTGTTAGTGTGCCTGTTAGAAAAATCAATCAATCAATCAATCGAGCATTAAAGTCGTAATTTAACGGTCAAGAACGAAGACAGCTTTCTTACCACTAATCGTACTGCAGAAGGCCTGCACGGTGTCCCACTTCTGGTAAGCCAGGTAGTCTCCGCTTACGCTGTCCGGATAACCAGCCGGGAGGAACAGGTTTTGGAAAAATCGCTTTAAACTCAGTCGCTTCCGCAGCCTCGGTCGTTCACCTTTCACATTCACTCGGACGACTGCATCTTGGTCTGAAGGAGGTAGTAGTACACTATTTAATTATGCAGTACAACTAGCTCCGCAACCAACGGGATCTATTACCACTCATCAAATATTTAAGCCCATAAAAAACATTCCCCTAGATGTTATAGGTACTCACTATCAGGTGTCACGTAGAGAATTTCCTCCCCCGTTGATCCGTACTGTTCACGGAAGTGGATTTTCATATTGGCCACCCGGATTTCCCTTGGACCGGGATTGGTGAGCTTGCAGAAAACAGAACCGCCACTACTCAATTACCGGGAATGCACTCGATTTCAAGAGCAAAATTAGAGGAAAACACGGACAAACATAAGCGATGATGAACCTTTTACGTGGTGCAAATGAAAAGATTGTTGATTTTTTCTTCTACTCGATCTGCTGTCACTTTTTGTTTGTTATGACAACTGAGTAAACATACGGTGGCTGCGTGCTTTGAGAACTCGATTTGTCCTCGATAATTGGGAACACTCTCAGAAATGGCTACGTACGTTATGTTTAAATTTCCAGTTTTGAATTGACCGCTTCAGGTTTCCAGGTTTCGATTAATTTGTTATTATTATTATTATTATCTCTATTTAGGAGATTTTCAGCCGCAGGCTGGTTCATCTCCGGGAGCCCCAGAAGGGGGCTTCCCTAATTACATAGTTGAGATTTTGGAGAACCCAGAAGGGGTTCTCCTAGAGGTTGGTGGAGCTCCAGAAGGGAGTCCCCTTAGTACAGAGTATTTTTAAACAGAGTTCATTATAGTTCCTGTCTTGGTTCTTAGCGTGGTTGGCGGATCATGGTGTGAATGGCGGTGGTCGTTGTCGAAGGCAGTCAGGTAATCGTCATGTGATATCCAGGCTTACTCCAGTGGTGTCCATGTTCGAAGTGTAGTCATTTTGTACAGATTGATTATATTTTATCGAACAGTCCAGCATCTTTTAGGAAAACTATTCTATTAGGGCTGCTTCCGTGGACGGGTCGTTAGAGAGGGCGTTACGTATGCTGTTCGGTATTCCATAGAGGAGCCGGATGTTATGGAAGCAGGGACAGTTAACAATCAGGTGTTCGACTGTCATAATCGTGTTGCAGGAGTCGCAAAACTTCCGAAAAGAGGCAGCACTACCCATGTTGTGGGTCACTCGGGTGTGTCCGGATCGAAGCCGGGATAAGACCTGTTGTTCCCATCGGCTCGTAATGTCATTCCATTTGGAGGTGTCGTCCTTTATTTTTCTCAGGAAAGGTCCCCTTTTTGCGAACCACTCCCGGGCCCAGGCGTCTCGGAGGGATGCTTTCACCCATTTTTTTACGTCCTGACTGGGTACAACCATAGAGGTAACTCTAAGACCACTGGGTCCCGAAGAAAATCATTATTATTTTTGGCTCACTCAGTACCAGAACAACGGTCCCAAGCAGTCCCAAGCTATTTCACTCACCCCTGCATGTTCTGCATGAATCCACACACCCCTGATGTTATCTGTCAAACTTTCATAGCGAATCAAAACAAACATAGTGTAGTAATAGAATTTCAACTAGAATAGGGTACGTTAATCGTTTGCTTGGGACCAATAGGCTACTAAAGTGGTGAGCCAATTTAAAATCGTTAGTTTCGTATTGATTGTTGGTACAACTGTGGTGGCCATCCGGCCGGAGCGACCTGTGGCAGCGAGATGATCTGCTTCACAGTTGCCCCGGATACCGCAATGGCCGGGTACCCAAACAAATGAGGTGTTTGGCGGCGCGGCGTTTTGGATCCCTTGTATCCAGGGGTGTCTGGATGTTGCTGAATTCAAGGCGTATAAAACGCTGGCGGAGTCTGTTAGGACACATATGGGTTTATTGGCGTGTGTCGTGGTGGCGAAGTGGATGGCCGCAGCCTCCGCCGAGAAGACGGAGCACTGATCGGGTAGTCGAAAGAAGTAGCTATTGGATACATCCGCTACTCCGAATCCAACCTTCCCCACGGCCTTAGAGCCGTCCGTGTAACGGTGTTGAAAATTTGCATATTTAGTTCTCAGCAGCTCCGCTACGTGGGCCTGCATGGCACGGGAGTTGTTACCTGCCTTGAAGCGCTTGGCAATTGAAAGGTCAACGCGTATGGTTGGTTCTGTCCATCCTCTGGCTCCGTTCCAGTGTACCCTGGACACGGGTGGGAGCTCCTGATGGACCAAGTTTCCGAGAGCTCTGTTCCCCTCCCTGAGGAGAAAGACCTCGTGATTCCCGGTGGTCTTTTCCAGGTAGCTGGTCGTTCTGCAGCTCAGCGTTTCGGCGACTTGATATTGAAACGGTAGTACACCGAGTTCGACGCATGCCGATTCAGCCGGTGTTGAAGGCAGAAGTCCTGCGACGATTCTGATTGCCTGGTTATACGTTGGGGCTAGTCGTGTGGTAAGAGAGTCGTTGGAAAGGCAGAACAGTTCGATCCCGTAGAATAATCGACTGTTTACAGTAGCTTTGGCCACTTTTAGTAGAATCTCTCTGTTACTGCTCCGGTGTGGTTTGGAAAGTGTCCGGAGGAGGTTTAGCCGCGTGCGGCAGTTGGCTTTGATTTCGTTGAAATGTGCGTCGAACCTCAGCTCCCGGTCCAAGCGTACACCGAGAACCTGGATGGTCTTCTTGTTGGGTATTGGAATATTGTTCGCAACGATGGCTGTTGGTAGCGGGCGATGACGGAAGTGGCATAGGTGGGAAACCACGCTCTTTTCTGCGGATAATTCAAAGCCGACCCTACTGGCCCATCTTGTGGTGGCTGATACAGCAGCTTGTAATTTCCTTCGCAGAGCCTTGAGGGTGCGTCCTAAAGCCAGCAGGACGATGTCGTCTGCATATACAAATATGTATATTCCTTTTGGTAGGATCCCAAAGACTCCATTCATGGCGACCAAGAAGATGGTGACCGCTATGACGGATCCCTGTGGGACTCCAGTTTCTTCCGCCCGAGTTGAGGAGCGGTGGTTCCCGATCATCACCTGAAAGCTTCTACCGCAAAGGAAATTTTTTAAAAAGTGTAGAATGTGGCCACCCAGACCCCAGTCAGCCAACTGTTTGATGACTTGGGGGGTCCAGGCGCGGTTATACGCCTTAGCTAAATCCAGGGCCGCTATGTCGACATGGAGTTCTTCATCCATCGCCTCTTGGAGTACATCGCCCAGGCCAGTAAAGTACGTTCCGGTGCCGTGACCGGATCTGAACGCATGCTGTCGGTGATCGAGATGGTCGTTGTCCTCGAGAAAGCGAATTAGACGGCGATTGACCATCCGTTCCATGACTTTACTAATGCAGCAAGTCAGAGAGATCGGACGGAAGTTTTCTGGAGTAGAGGCCACTTGCCCCTGCTTTGGGATGGGGACTACCAGACTGTGGGACCATTCATTTGGCAGGGTGTTCTCTATCCAGATTTTATTTATTAGGTCTAGCAGTTCGACTTTGGTGCTGGACGGGAGATGTTGCAGCATGGGGTATCCTATATCATCCGGACCGGCGGATTTCCCTTTGCTGCGGGATAGTGCAAGGGTTAGTTCATCGAACCGAAAGGGCGCGTTGATGGGCGTAGGTACAGAGTCCTCCGGAATGACAATGTTGCCAAGGCTCTGTGTGGATGCGTGGTTTTTTTGTATGAAGTTCCTGTCATAGCGGTCAATGGCAGAGAGTGAGGCAAAATAGTCAGCCAATTCGTTGGCGATGGTGAGCGGGTCTCGTGTGAGGCCGCTTTGGAGGCGGAGGGCCATCCCCCTGGCCTTTCTTTTTCCGTTGAGGGCGTTGACCCGGCTCCACAACTCGGACGCCGTTTGGTTGGAGTTGATCCCCTCCAAAAATTCCTCCCAGCTACTTTTCTTGGCATCCCTGATGATTTGCCGGCACTCGTTTCGCTTGGAGCGGTAAAGCTCGGTGGCTTGTTCCTTGTCTGGGTGGTCTTTAGGGAGGCGCTTCGCAGCACGAAGAGCTTTCCTTCTGGCTTTGATTGCAGATTTCGCTTCGGGACACCACCAGTGTAGAGGTTTTCGGCCGGGGTTGGGGCTGGTCTTCGGGATGGCGATATTGGCGGCCTCAGTGATGATCCCCATGAATTCTTCCATGCTCGTCGCTGGGTGGTCAATGTATGCCTGCGTCACATTATCGTTGAAGAGTTTCCAGTCAGCTTGAGCGTAAAGCCACCTGGGTCGCCTTGAGGTCTCTGGAGGATCATCCCCTAGCGAGATGATGATGGGGTAGTGGTCGCTCCCTGCTGGATCCTCGAGAGTTTTCCATAGGAGCCGCCCAGTAATCGCTGGACTAGCCGCGGAGATGTCGATCGTTGTTTCGTACTGGCCGCGAACGAAGGTGCTCGAGCCATCGTTGAGGGTCACTAGGTCGAGGGACTCTAGGAGTTCCGCTATAGTGGAGCCACGGGGGTTTGCTTTGGGGCTCCCCCAGGAGGGGTGGTGCCCGTTGACGTCACCGAGGAGTAGAAGAGGGCCGTCGATTAAGGCTAAAGCTCGTTGGAGCTTGTTCAGTAGGTCTGGGATTTTCCCGTGTGGCAGGTAGATGTTAATGACTGATAATTGAAAAGGGGATTCGACTTTAGCTCCCACGATTGGGAGATCGGTGTTAAGGTTGATGGGAGTGAATGGGATGCCATCAGCGATCCCGACGGCGACCGAGTGGTAAATGTTGCTTTGGCTGCAATTGTTGATCCAATGGAATTTGCTCGCAAGTGTGCGATTCATCTGTCCTGTGTTGGCTCTGTGGGTCTCCTGGAGAGCCAGGAACATGGGTTAGTTGTTCTGAACTAGAACTTCCAAGTCCCCGAGATTGTTAAAAAATCCGTTCATGTTCCATTGGATCGCTAAAGTGGTGCTGCGAGGTCTTCCAGGAACGGGAGGACTTTTGGTTGGAGAGGGCATTTGGGCATATCTGGTGGTGGAGTTGGAGCAAGTCGAGGTTGGAGAGCTGGGGGTGGATCCCAGCAAGGCTCCACCGGCCGAAGGTGTCAGGATTGAACCCACTGCCTGCAGAGTTGTATGAGCCACCGAAGCAAATGCAGGTCTAGGCGACAGACCGATGGTTGGAGAAAGGTATTCTCCAGTAATGTCCCGGGACGACTGTCCAGTAACTGACTTGATATGGCATCGTTTGAGGCCGGGCGTTTTGGTGTTTGTTAGTGATGAGCAGAAGGGAGTGGACCCCAGCAGAGCTCCACCGGCAGAAGGTGTCAAAACTGGCCCCGCAACCGGCAAAGTTGTCTGGGCCACCGATCCAAAGGCCGGACTCGACGAGGATCCAACGAATGGATTGGGAACCCCTCCGATCTTGGCCTGCCATCGATCGTACTCGCGAGCATTTGATAGTGCGTGAACAGGAACAGCTCTCCTGTCACACAATTTACGCAATGGTGT